GTGCAGTGAGCTCAACTCATTATTTCTACACAAAACTGTAACCAATTGTGGATGTCAGTAACAGAAGAGGGGGGAAATTTCACCTGTCTGAGAAGGGAACTCTAGGCTTCAGGGACATATTCAGAAGCTCTTATCGTCAGATATTAGGAGGAAAATAAGGGGAAGTCAATATATACCTTGAGAAGTCTATTAGTTTAATAGAGTTTAACCATACTGATATTTAGTCTTATTTTTCAAAACAAAATACAATTTGTAAGTTATTCGTTACATAATCTACAGTAAGAACGATTCTTACTTACTATCTTTATGTCATCAGAAACTCCTTGCACCCCCTCAAATCTACCTTACAGAATGGTATGTTGATTATAGAAGACCCTGGCACAAATTAATTAAGATTCTGGTACAATTATCAAAATGCCAAAACTGTCAAAACTACAATTAGGTGATCCTTAGGTATAGCTTTCATCTCTCTGTCTTGGATTGTTTTTGTCTTAGTGAAATGTATCCAGGTTATCACGAGCTATTCAATTTGCCAACTAAAGTAGAATTAATCAAAGGCACATCCATTTTCAAAAGGATTCAGGAAATAACTTTTAAGCTCTACATATTCTGCTAGCAGGTCCATTTATCTCTGCTTTTCTCTGTACCACAGAAGAAATACGTAAAGCCCTTGCCTCTCGAAGAAGTCATTAGAGTAATCCAGATTTCGGAGAGGGCCCGCCAGGGTCGCCTAAGGGCTTCATTCATGAAGCAAATCTACCTGGAAGAAAAGAGAGAGAGACAGGCCAGACTCCAGGGAGGAAAAGGTCCAGATTTGGAGGCTGCTGCACTTCTTATTCAAAAGGCGAGTCTTGTTTCTGTCAGTAAAATGCAGGGGGAACTGACGATGTGTTTTGCTCACACGAGCAGCATGAAGCTCACGAGACAGAACATTCTGACTTGGCAGCAGCCTGCCTGGGTAGCTGGTTGGAACCCCAGCCTGGGGCCATTCCAAACAAGAGCGGACAAAGCACTAGAAATGAAAGTGAAAGGAACGGTCCTGCAGTGGCAGGAGGTTTCTGGGGCCCAAACGGAGCTATACCCCATGATCCAAATGTATCGTAAGTGATTCATGTGTCTGCGGAAGCAGAAAGAAACAACCCTGCAAAAACAGTGTAGTCAGCATGGCGTTGAAAGACAGGCCACTGCTCCACATAGAAAATATTCACCTGCGTGTTTGCAGCATCCCAGAGCTCCAGTGAGAGTATAGTGGGCCCCTAGTTCTAAACCCGCTTCCAACGGTTATGCTTTTCACATGTGCAGGGGGGTGGGGGAAGAGTAGGCTTGAGAATCTGTTTAAAATAATACCGCAGATGGCAACCTGTTCAGCAGTAATTGCTTCAATTGTATAGTCTGTTTTTCCTTCCTCTATTTGTTTTTTCCTGTGCCTGCTGCAGTAAAGGAAGCTGTAACAAGGCCCATTTATCTCATTAGCGTTGTGTTTACAATTCAGGTTTGGCGTGGATTTACGCAGTGGAAGAATACAGTGAAAATGAGAGAGGAGGAAATGATATTTCTGGGGATGGTAAGTTTTGCTTGGCAAAGAATATAAACTGTGTTCAAGATTGTGGTCCCTTTTCCCTTGGGGTTTTTTGTAAATGAACAGGAGGGGGGGGAAAAAATTCATTTGCTAACACTCATATGCTAAAGAGGTCTTGGAGACCAAAGACCTCGACTGAAATGACCAATGGTGCAGCAGTTGGGCAATCTCTCTTCTAGTATAAACTCTCATGATGTACATTAGTGCCGTATCTACTGCAGATGTGAGACGAGACAGGCTGCGCTCCAAAATTTAGCGAGTGTGACCCAGGCACGGCAGAGCATGGTACTCATGTCAGCCAGCCTTCTGTTACTAACGCCTCAGCACTCAAGTGCCTTATCCCTGAAGCAGAGCTGAACCTGTCAAGTCTTCTCCTCACACTTTTGCAGGGCCATTCCCATTGTGTGTGGGGCTGGGGACCAGAAAGAAGCTGCCAAATAAATATCTCCCCAAAGCTCATGTGGGAGGGAAGAGGCAAAACAGAACCCTAGAGCACCTGGCATGGCAAGTCAAAAAAGCAAAACAGACGTACAGAGTGAACTTTTAGACCAGGAGGGGTGGAGAATGCGAAATATCTGGGGGAGTTTCTCCCTCACCCATAATTAGGGACGGTAAACCATCTCCTCCCTACAAGAATAGGAAGGTGGATGTTTCCCCTAGTCTCTCCGGGCCTAGCTTATAGAGCTTCTCCTTGCAGCTAGCAGCAGCTGACTCTCTATGAGTCTGGTCTATGGGAAAAGCCAGAGAAGGTGAGGGCAGGAATAAAACTGTTCCCTTCATTTCCCAGAAATGTAAAAAACGTCCATATTGCAAATTTCACCGAATCATAAATGACTAGGGCTGGAAGAGACCTCAGGAGGTGATCGAGTCCAACCCCCTGCTCAATGCAGGACCAACCCTGACTCAACGAATCCAGTCAGGGCTTTGGCCAAGCCTGGGAGTTACCCCCTGTAAGCATGGAGGTTCCACCCCTCCCTACATAACCCATTCCACTGCTTCAACACCCTCCTCATAAAATATTTTTTCCTAAAATTTGATCTACACTTCTCCCACTATAATTTGAGACAATTGCTTCTTGTTCTGCCATCTGCCACCACTGAGAACAGCTGAGCTCCATGCTCTTTAGAACCTCCCCTCAGGTGCATTTTCTAACACTATCCAATCTCCCCTCACTCGTCTCTTCCGAATGCTAAATGAGCCCCGTTCCCTCAGCCTTCCCTCATAAATCATCCACCCCAATCCCCTAGTCATTTGCATTGCCCTCCACTGGGCTCTCTCTGATTTGTCCACATTCTTTCTATAGTGTGGGGCCCAACACTGGATACAGATGCAGCCTCACCAGTGCCAAATTAAAGGGAATAATCGCTCCCCTCGATTGGCTGGCAATGCTCCTCCTAAAGTAGCCCACTTTGCTGTTAGCCTTCTTGGCAACAAGGGCACACTGTCGATTCCTATCCGGCATCTCATCCACTGCAATCCCCAAGTTCTTTTCTCTCGAACTGCTGCTTAGCCAGTCGGTCCCCAGCATGTAGCAGTGCTTGGGATTCTTCCGTCCCAAGTGCAGGACTCTGCACTTGTCCTTGTTGAACCTCATAAGATTTCTTTTGGCCCAGTCCTCCAATTTGTCTAGGTCACTCTGGACCCTATCCCTGCCCTCCAGCATATCTACCTCTCTCTATAGCTTGGTGTCATCCGCAAACTTGCTGAGGGTGCAATCCATCCCCTCATCCAGATCATTAATGAAGATGTTGAACAGAATCATCCCCAGAACCAACCCAGAAGGCCCTCTGCTTGATACCCACTGTCAACTAGACATTGAGCCATTGATCACTACCCACTAAGCCCGATAAGCTAGCCAACTTTCTGTTCACCTTTTAGTTCATTCATCCATGTCAGGGGTCTTTAACTTGCTGGCAAGAATCTTATGGGAGTCCATATCAAGGGCTTTTCTAAAGCTAAGTTGTATCACATCCACTGCTTTCCCCATATTCGCAGAGCCAATTGTGTCATCACAGAAGGCAATTAGATTGAGCTGTTCTTGGAAGCAGCAACTTGGAATAAATTGTAGTGCTCCCTGCAGCTAGCTGTGAGGGGGCGAATCTCCCCATACTTTTCCAACCGTCCTCTTTTGTCTCCGATGCATTAGTCCTGGCTGTCACCATTCTGTAGTATTTATTGTATATGACACAGTATAGGTGCCACATCCTTCTCCAGGTCCCCTTGTCTACTACAACAATGCACTTGTTGCTGCTGTATTCAAATAACAGCCTTTTACAATAGTGCCTTACAGTAATATTCATTCTCATTGTGTATGTGGCACTCTGGCGATCGATCTTTCAGGATTTGATTTAGTGGGTCTAGTAAAGACCCACTAAATCGAATGCTGAGGGTGCCTCCCCTTGATGCAGGTACTCCTTGCTATCATGAGGAGTAAGAAAAGTCGATGGGAGCATTTCTTCTGTCGACCTAGCCTAGGGAGCTGGTGTCCCTAGCCTCTGTTTGTCAGAAGCTGGGAATGGGCAACAGGGGAGGGATCACTTGATGGTTCCCTGTTCTGTTCATTCCCTCTGGGGGCACCTGGCATTGGCCACTGTCGGAAGACAGGATACGGGGCTGGATGGATCCTTGCTCTGACCCAGTCTGGGCATTCTTATAACTTCCTATTATGGAGAGGGTGCCAAGCTTGGTTTAAGGTAGGTTGACTCCAGTTGCAGTATTTACATAGCTAGAGTTGCATTCCTTAAGCCAACCTTTCCTCTGCCGTGTAGACCTGCTTAGAGAGGATTCCGGTCTCTAGCAGATGATCAGGTGTAATTAGATATACAGCTACATCCTCTTTTCACTATGGCCTACACACTGAGAATGGGTGTGAGGACAGCAATGTATTGTAGCCTATGGGGAAACGCTTGCCCCTAAGGGGGCAAGACAGCTTAAAACCTGATACAACATCCAGTCTCTTCACTTTCCGACCAGTTTTTAGGCTCAATAGAGTTGATGTTTGCAACTCTGTGCTCAGTAGAGCCATTAATTGGTATTAAATGTCTAATTGAGGGTTATGGGGGAAATAAAAGGTGCTTTGTCTTCCAATGTTTTAATATATTGGGTTGGTGTTTTTCTTGCATTTTTAATGCTATATTCCTCGCTATGGCCTCAAGGGAAACAAGTGGCAAAAGGCAACTATTCACATTGATGGATCAGCAGGGAGCTCCAAAGGTCAGGCCCGTTTGATGTATGAGCATGACAGCTCTCTAAAAAATTATCCCAGGTCGTTATGTGTAAACATCTCGAATTTGCTTTTCTAATACTTTAAGATTTAGATAAATTAGAAGACATGGCCATCCATTACCTTAAGCTCATCACAAGCAAGTCTGGACTTGTACTGCAAGACATTTGAAGTAATCATTTGGAGTTGAAATTATAAGTATAAAGTAGCATAATTTACATGGGACTTTGAGGAAGGCATTGAAAAGCTTTAAATGATTAATAATGACTTTTGGGGATATTCAGCGATATGGTCCTAATAAGAATATACACAAATAAGATGGTCCCAGAGTCAGTCTATCTGCTTCTGAATTAACAGTGCTCATGCATTTCGCTGTCAGCGCTTATTTCTCCTTTCTGACAGAAACACTTTCTGTCAGTTTCCTGGAGTTGGCGTTTATTTCTTATTTTATTTGATGACAGAGTAGACGTCCTTAGTCTAGAGAGAGAGAGAGATTTTTTGGGCTGTAGTACAAAGTCTTGAGGTTCTTGTTATTATTTATTAGAGCTTAATTACAGAAAAAGCATGATTCCCTCAGCACATTTTTCCAAATCTCAGATAAATCTTGATCTGAAAAACCTGCTCCATTTTTTGAAAAGGCAAAGCCTGACCAGGAACACATATATCTTTATAGCTGTCTCCTGACGTGCTTCCTGGTCTTCCTCATATTCCTGCTCTACTGCTAATTCAGCCATTGACATTCCAGTTAAAGTTTCACCCACTTTGCATTGCCCTGAAAATGTGCAGAAACCTTTATTTTACTCCTCCAGCCATGTTAAAATTATAGGCCAGCCATGTGCCATATTTCTGATTTTTTGAAAGCTACTATCTAGCTTCTCTTATTTACCTGTAACTCAAGAATAGCATAGTGCTCAGACTTCAGACATGGGGGGCCAGATTCACCAGTGCGCCATAGTTGGTTTGTGTTGGTGCAGTGATCCAAAGCAGCCGTAAACCTAGCTTAGCTGGCTGGGTAACTTGTGTGTATGGCTGTTTTGTTTCACCGAAGTGGTGGAAAGCAGCTGAAGTACACTTCTTTTGCTAACACAGGTGCGCCTTCCACTGAAATCAATGGGCGCGGTGCTCAGAATAGAGCCTGATCCTGTAAAGTCATCAACGGTTGAGGGTCTACATCTGTGGAGATCCTCACCACCTAGTAGGGCTAAGGGGGAAACCTGTTAACATGGAAAGTTATTAAAGACGCTTTGCAAATTGGCTGATTCTACACAAGTCTGGTCCACGGGAAGAGAGGAGAAGTCAGAGAAGAGAGGGCAGGAAGGAAAGCCAAAGTAGATCACATCCTGAAACCCCAACAAACTTCCATGCTGCAAATTTGATCTGTTCTTGGAGCAGCAACTGGTGCTGACTGGCCTATGCATCTTGTCGGTAGAGAATATAAGTAAGGAGTTGCTTGGATGGGCACCCAGGGACTATCTGAAACCAGCTATGATGTATGGGTTTCACTATGGATTGCACGAGATGCCGGGCTCAATCCCACAGGCTGCTAAGCCCACTGGTCCCGAAATTCTTCCATGCATTTTAGCTTTAAGCACGAGGAGCCGGCCCCATTGAAGTTCAGCACTTCACATGCTGAAATGATTTACAGACTGCGGCCTTGTTTGTTGGGATTGTGCTTATTGATGTGCTGTTGTGCACTGCTAGGCAACTTGGACACTGTGCTTTTCCACAATGATTTATGCTCCTACCCCAAGGGAGTCTAAGG